GGCAGTTTTGACTCGAACGCTCACAATTCAGCCAGAGTGTTGAACGCTACTGGTGCGTCACTGAATACTCACGATTGAGGCCGTGAGAGGACTGGACCTTGGAAGAGAGAGCTAGATTCGACTCACGAGCGCTACTGGTCTAACGTATGGTTAACTGAGGAAGACAAATGAACCGGAACAATTATAACCAAAATGACAATATCGTCAGCTCGGCTTAAAGGTATTGTGTGGATAAGAAACAAGAGGGAACTGCGATGGTTTCAAGCCAAGTCATTGGTTATAATTATCGCATTTCTATAAAGTGAGAGATAGGATGGGTATCGTTACCAACAAGACGTGGTGCATTTATGGTTGATAAAATGATAATAAAAGAGGGGAAGTTTTAAAATTGGCACCGTTTACAAAACATTTTTGGAAATGGACAAATAAAAATTTGACTCTATATGCTGTAAAACACAGTGGACGAGTGGTCACAACCCAAGGGCTTTTTTCGAGTCTTCCTCAACCACCAATAATTAATTTCGTATATAACCGCAGTACCGGATTTGCCAGCATAATGAATACAGGAAATTCTTTTTACCTTTCACTTAAAGGAACGTTTTAGCCAAATATAACTTATGGGATCTTCTCGCGCTTGTAAAAAAAGTAAGTATCTATGGCCCCTCTATCCTGATAATTAACTGAAAACGAATACTAAAAACTGGTTAACCGACACAGCTGACAAAACCAAAGGGGGATATTTCTACCGGGTAATAAAATCGGTTTCTCGAAAGTGTGCATTAAAAAGATAAAGGAAATAACATCACACAAGTAAAAATGAAAGCGATCCTTTGGCCGTAAAAAAAACAGTTTCCCCAAGGTCAAGAAAGAAGGCTTACGATAGGCCGTAAGGGTATCACGCTCCTGGGGTATGTCAGAGAGAACGATAACCATTGAACTGTAGGGGACGTGGAAGCTCTGAAGGGACAAAAGAATGGAATAGTAAGCTCAACTAAATCAATGCGACTGTTGCAGTTCAAGAGATCCGATGAACACGCCTGAAGATGCAAAAACCTGAATTGTCGTACTGATTATAATTGCAGCACAACCAAGAGCATCCGAATGTTGGTTTGCGTCGGTGACACAAAACGCATAAGAGACCAGCTCTACTGGCAAATAGTCCTTTGTAAGAAGCACAAGGGACAGACCTAGTCGAAAATAAGAGCGCCACAACATTTAGGCAACCAGTGATCGAGGGGATAGAGTGATTACAATTTTTTATATCAGAATACATCGCTGCTGCGTTCAGCGCCGGGAACATGTGACAAGTCATTTGGTTACGGAAGGCCGGAAGCTTATTCATCTTTAATAAGCAAGCCAATGTAATCATCCGAGACGGTCAAGCACATTGGTTCCACAAATAAA